GTAGGTAACTTGCTTGTCAGCGCTAAACAGAGAGACCATAGGAAAGAGACAGGATGTTGATTGATACTTGATCATTGTACAGGGACCTACAGAGTTAAGGGGATTAAAAAATGTGTGACTACCCAGCGGACATGGCAGTAAGGCTAAATCCAAATTTAGTCTGTTACTGTATGTTTATTGGAAAGTACCACGAGGCTCCTCTCCGATAAGCTGTTTCTAAAAGCAGGCCATAGCAAAAGACATGACTGGGAGACCAGTCAGAGGGAAGTCTCACTCCCAGGTTGACACACAGTGACTCTTGTCAGTATCTCTTTGCTGTCAGTTTCTAGCATGGAGGGTTGTTGAACAGAATTCAGTGGAAATCGCTTAAAGTCTTAACAGATGCTATGGCATCTATTTATCCATAGCTAAGTGTTCTCAGCTGGTGCCATTAATGTCTCCAAACACTTGTACAAAATGAAGAAGAAGTTTTTCTTCTGATGTCTTGCAAATAGTGCAACAGGCTATATTTTAACCTAAATCAGTCAAGCAGTTTATGCCACCCACTCCACCTCCACTTTCATAATGCTAAGTTGAAATTTTCCAGACTCTCCTATTTCAGATTTCACTGTGTATATCAAAAACTGATGCAAGGGGAGTAAATAGAGGCAAAGGTTGCTGTTCAAGTACCAGTATGGGAAGAGCTGGGGGTAATGACATATGCACCGTACACCAATAATAACGTACAAAGGAGTCGCATACCCTGTTGTTATCTTCTTTGCTACCCCAGATCTATTTAGCTCACACTAACTTTCTTTATTTCCACACTTCTTCCTTTCCCTACTGCCACTAAGTCCAAATGCACTTGTGTCCTTTTGAACCCGTCTCATACTTGTGCCTCGTTTCTAAATTTGGTGACTAAGGATGGAGGAAAAAAAGTGCTTACCATGCTGAGCATCGAATTTTACATAAACACACACACACATGTGCTTGACATATTGTCGACTACTTCGGGATGTTGATCCACAAAGAGTAAAAACACACTGTACAGTATGTGTGTGTGTGTTTGCAAGTGCATGCGCATCAGTATGCGTCTAAGAGAGGACAGAGCAAGAGAAATACAAGGATAAGTGTGTGTGTAAGAGAGCGGAAGAGTTGGAGTGAGAGAGATCAGACCGTGTTGAGTAGAGCTTTTGGCTTTTCTCTATGAGGATAAAGCTTGTTCCGGCCTTGTGCAGCTGAATCCCGCTGCAGCACTGTCCGTGGTGCTGAATTGGTTGGAGGCTTTTCCGTCTCTCTTTATCTCCTTCCCTCCCTTCCTCCTTCCTCTATTACACTGTCTCTACTTCTTCTTGTGTTTATCTCAACTCTATCTCAGTTTCACAGGCTTTACTGTTGTGAAACACAGCAAGTTGCCACAGTGGTGTAAAAACACAGTAAAAATTTCCCACAAAGCAGCAAGGGATAGTATAACTATGTAAAACATTGATTTACAATAACGTGGTGGCATTTAAAAATAAATAAATAAATAAAAGTTAAAATTAGCAATCAATAATCATAATATAAGTAGTAATTGTGGGCCTCTTTGTCACAACACATAGGCTAAACATAAACTTAGCAAACTCAAAACATTTGTCATTTTTGTTTTAGTACATTAAGCCTTGGTGAATGCTCAATAATCCAGGTAAGAAAATTCCAGAAAGTTGATTTGTTGAAAGTTGATTCTGTTCATTCTAATGATTCCTACTTCCAGATGAATAAGGTCAACTTTCTGGGATTTAGTAAATGAACTTTTGCACCTCTGCCCATAAAAAGCAAAAACCTCACCTGGTTCAGCTTTGGGCGATCTCCCCCTCAGGCTTGTCTCTCGGTGCACTTCTGAACTTTTAGCAGATCTGCTGCTATTTTCAGATAGCACCCTGCCTGCACTCTCTTCTCCATTTACCTTCTGCACTGTTCATTGCTTTGGATGTTTGACCTCAGGTTGACCTTCACTACCTCTGCTCCCTGCATCTTCACTGCTACACATGTCCCCTTTTCAGTCACACATCTGTATTCGGTCTCGCTTCTTTTGACTTTCATTCCTCATCTCTCCAGTGCATTCCTCCACCTTTCCAGACTCTCTTCCACCTTCTCCCTACTTTTACTACAGATCACAATGCCCGTGCAAACATCATAGTTCACGGATATACCTGCCCAACCTTATCTTTCAACCTGTCCATCACCACTGCAAACAAAAAGGGGCTCAGAGCTAATCCCTGATGTAATCCCACCCTCACCTTTAATCCATCTGTTGCTACTAAGGACACCTCGACACTGTCTTGCTGTCCTCATATATGTCATCACATACTTATACTCATACAGTACCACAGTTAAACTTTGTCCTGTATCTCAAAGTAAAATTCAAGTTGGTGGGTTGTTTTGATAAAGTGGAGGAGATCCTGTTTTATTGGAGATACACACATGGAAGTTATCAGAACAGGACTTCCAGGGGGCTAATCTCAAATTAGCAAAGGTGCACAAGGAGATTACTTTAAAGAGGAGATTGGCTACATTTAAATCGGGTATGCCTTTTTATGCTGTGAGCTTTTCATGCTTTTTATAGTTGGAGCTGCAAAACCTTTTTCATATCATAAAACATGCCTACCTCAATTTCCCAGAGACGCTTGGTGTTAAATGACTGGTTTTGTCCATACAGCCACATCCCCAAAGCTATGTCGCTTTACAATAATGTTAAAAAAGAGAAAAGACTAAAAATTGAACTTGTTAAATTGGTTTATCCTCAGTTTTGCTCAGCTAACAAAACTGTGCACTGTAGATATGTTTAATTTGTGGCAACAGAGCAGGAGGGAGTGTAACTCTTGGAATGTTTCTTCATATTTTTGAGAAAAACAAGTGTAATGATTAGAATTAGAGGAAGTAAACATCTGTGATTTTCAAACTGCGTTGGAAATAAAAGTTAATTATGCATTTTCTTGAGAGAAGTCTGGCCATGGCTTGCCCTCCAGTTCTTTGTTCTTTGAGTCTGAATTTTTCCAACAATTTCCTTCCTTAGGGTTTGTTAGTCACACTCCTCTGGTGGCTTGCCATCGTGTAGGCCTACTCTCTATTTAAGGATGAACATGTTGCCAGAGTTTGCGTCAGGATTGTGTTACTCTCTCCATATTTGTCCTTTCCTTTGTTAAAATCTGGTCCGTGCAGATGCTTTTGTAACAGTTTGGTTTGACTCAATGAGCGTCTACAACCAGCTGCTTTGACATTTCGGGGCTTTGTGCAGTCGTGACAACTAAAGGTTATTTTACTCTGTGAAAAATTTGATAAAATAATTGGATGTTTGTTATTGGAGGACACTGACCAAGTGATGCCCTGCATGTGCAATCCTTGTGGCTTTTCTGAAGGCAGCGACGATTCACAGAATTCTACAATGAGCACTCCTCTGTCTCTTGTATCTCTTCACCCTCTGCCCACTCTTTCTTTCTTTCGTTCTTTCTCGCTTTTTGTTCACTCTCACTCAGCATCACGGCTCGATCTGTATGTGAAAAGTTGTTTGGTTTACTAGTTTATTCACCAGTATTTATACAACTCACTAATGCAACTTGACAGGATCCTTTAGGTCAGTGATAATTCTTCATTTGAGGATTCCAAAATTTGCTAATGCTGTTTAAACCCTGGGGACACCCGGTCTAATTAAAACATTGCTAAAGAAAGAAGCATCTGGGAAAAAAAAGAGTCTCTAACCAGTAGCCAAAGCAATACTGCTGTAGGCTTATTAAATTCTCATCACATTTTGCTTTTAAATGCCACCAGGAGTTACTTTTACTACTGTATATAGTTCCCTTATATACACTTACAAAGCCTCTACACCTCCCCTTTTACTTCCTTTTAGCCAATCTCTCTCAAAAATGCACATATTTATTTGATTTTATAACACTAGCCTTTAGCTTATATTGCTCAGTACTTCAGCAGAGGTTAAAGATGAAACAAACTGTTAAGAGTTTTCATTTTTCCTGACCCCTGTCTGATCTCTGCCCATTCTCTAAATCTGTTTATTTCTGCCTTCCTCTGTTATTCCCTTTATCTCTTTATTATCCCTTGTCCTCCCGGCCCCACCACCACTAGCAGCCGCAACCTTGAATTGTTTGGTGTACTGCCAATAACGCACCATATAATTTATCCCTCTTGCTAATCAGATAATTGTAGAACACTCACATTTTATAATCTATGAAATCCTGCAGAATCTGGAAAGTGAGCACACTAATCTGCCGCTGCGCTTGCTGTTTCAGCCATCTCTAATGGTAACATTCATCACCACAGCTCTTAATCCGCAGTATCCGGGACACCTAACGGAAAGACTTTGATGAATGTGATATTTAATTTTATTAACATAACCCGTTTAATATTATTTATGTTTCATAATTCAGTGTCTGCTCCTCTCTTCCTCCTAGTGGTAATTACAAGTATTTATCAGGCATAAAGCCTTTGACATCACATATGATGAAAGTAAAGCCAGTCATTCCCATCACATGGAGGTTCCTGACTAAAGACAAGAGCTGTGCATCTCATCTCTCTTGCCTCCACTGGCAACCTAGAGCAGCTGCACCTGAGCTATGCTTAGGGTCAAACAGCGATATGCAGATATAAGTGAGCAGTGTTTGTGCATATGTACTGGCTTGAACCAAGACTACTGGCAGTGATTTTTATTGTCAACAGTAGTGCATTCCAGAACATGAGCAGATAGCCTACCTTTAATAACAACTGATAAAATGTAAGCTTTTTCCTGCTTTGCAGCTGTAACTGCATTCACGTGGTCCTCTTCAAGTCCCTGCTCCACACTTTGAGAACCTATTGACAGTGTGGCTGTCTACTGTGTGTCCTGACAGACCCTAAACTTCAGCTACTGCAGGCTGAGGTCCAGGCGATGGCATCACCCACCGTCGTCATAAGGCATCCATCTGTTATCACCAGCTTGTAATCCCGGAGCAGCGACTTGTCAGTAGACAGAGCAGGACACAGATACGGAGGGAAGGAGACAGACAGGAGCGGGGCTGGTGGGCGTATCGCCTCCCGGGAAAAACCGCCGCACAGTGTGAAAGTAACTGCAGGAGGGACTGCTCATCGTAGCGGATCAGAGCGGGTTTTTAAAATGAGCTAAAGGACGTTAAATGTGGGGTTTTCTTTCGCTGCGAAATTTGTTTCTCCTTCCATCTGAAGCTCGCCTTATTCTTTGACCTATAACGCCTCGTCCACCATCCTCCGGCTGCCCGCGGTGTGGTCCTGTGTTTTTCCTCACAGACAACAACGCCGAGAGCAGAGAGAGGTCAAGACAAAGTCACTTGTGTAGAGGAAAAAGGGGAGCAGCGGTTTCACTGAGCTATGTGATTTTATAGTTTCTGTTTTTTGGGGGTGGAGAGAAGAGTTACAAATTCGTGCACCTATTTTGTTTATTTATTTATTTTTTACCTGTGGAAGACCTTGGGACGGATAACACCTACCCACCATTACCCTGACAGGATTTTTGTTTCAGGCGTCTACAGATGAAACACGAAGAGCTGCGAAGGAGTAAGATTGGACCTTAGGACAGCAGAGGCAGCTGCTGAATGGGGAAGCGGAGATCACCCATAGGGGAGACCGGCAAATGAGTCCAGCGTGGTTTCCTTTACTACACATCGCTTTTCCTCCACTCTTTAGACACGGGAACCCAGCGATACTAACCTCCAGCGTTTGTGTATTTTCCTTCAAATGACCGATTAACGGAGTCTAAACAGAAACAGGGGGAGCTCGCATGGAGTCCAAATGAGCGCTCAACGCAGCGGTGCGCCGGTTTAACGGCGTTTCCCCCCTCTCTCTTACAGTCCTGTCCCAGCGGATCACTAGCGGACAGTGGATAGCTGTAGGTTATAGACTGCGACCGGCCTTGCACCCGTAAAGGGCTTTTGATGCAAACTCAACGGGAACTAAATTGAAACGCTTGCCTTGCCCCGTCTCCCCTCCAGCAGCCCCGCAGCGCGGTTAGCCTTGCGCGGTGTCAGACAACAACATAAAAAAAGTGGATATATTTTCTTATTGGGCTTGAAAATTATTCCGATCAGAAAGGGGATTATTTAGTATTTTCTTTCGAGTTCTTCACCTGGCTTGAAAAGGGAGCAAATAACCAGAGGAGACATAGCCTCAACAACAGGAGGAGAGGCAGACGCGCAGGTATGATAGTGTCTATCTACTTTTCCCCTCTGTCCGATTATCGCACCATTTTCTCTCCCCGTTCCCTCAACCACCTTCCCCCGTCTGCATGTTCTCGTTTTTTTTTTGTTTTTTTTTTAAATGCCGCATCGCTTTTTAGAGGTTGGTTTGTAATTTTAGAAGAGCCGAGTTGAGTACATAGACAGAGAGACAGAAGAGATGGCAGATGGGAAGATAATGGCGCTGGTGGGTTTTTTTCTCCCCTACGATTCAGAGATGGTGATATCCTCTCCAGATTAAACACAGGAGGAAAGGAGAGACGGTGAGACGAGAAGGGATGATGTTGCTGAGGGGTAAAGTGTGAAGTAACATGTGTCAAACAGATAAGGAGATATGTTAAGAGACCGTGGCAGGACATGGGGTGAAAAGAGAAGTCTGAGAGTTTAAAGAGGGAAAGGGTGACTTGGTTGTGAAAGAAAGGCAGAACTGAATAACCAAACCGTTGTGGAGACGAGAACAAACAGGGAGAGAAGTGAGACAGGAGGGGCTTAAAGGGATCTGATAGGGGAAGAGGGCAGAAGAGAGGGTGCTGAGGTGGAATACAGAGAAGGAGCAGGAAGAGGAGATGGGCTCTGTGATAGGGAGGGGGAGAAGGCAGGGCATAATGGCCAGAGAGAGGGTTCTGCTGGAAAGGTGAGTGGAGAGAATATAAGGGGAAGGGTGAAAGTAATGGAATCAAATAGAATGAGGGGGGAGTTGGTGAGGTGAGGAGGGGTTAGCTTACTGGTGCAGGTGGGGAGAAGGATCAAGACGCTGTGCAAGAGGAGTGAGGAAAGCTAGAGCTCAAGAAAGCTCTAAAAAGATGGAGGCCAAGTGTAGAACACTCCATCAATCTATGCTGGAGACACTATGTGGTATTATCCAATGGATTGCTGCGCAACTGCCATTGCTGCACCATGGAGACAGAAAGATATAAAGACAGGAGGAGAAACCATTAAAAAAAAGGCAGGAAAGATAGATTTACGAAGCCAATAATTTAAGTTGCTGTGTCAGCTCATCAGCTCCTCTTTACCTGGTAAATTCTTCCTATCCCTAACTGCTTCATTTGCATTTTGATTGGGTTTTGCAATGGCTCTAAGCCACCTTAAAACACATGTAAACACACATGCAAAAATATACAACATTTGCAGGGAGGGCTTTTCTGGTTTTCCTGTCTTCATTGGAATGTGTATACCTGTGGCTTAGCTGAAGCCTTTTTTTTGTTCTGATAATTCAATCTTTCCTGCCTATGTTGTGTCATTCTTCCTGGCTCGTGTTAGTGCAGCGTGTTTGAATGTAGCTCAAATTGCTGTCTAGGCAGAATATTTTGAAAGATTCAATTGATGATGATATTTTAATGCCTTTCAGATCACAGTGAAGTTCTTTATGCATATGATCAGTATTACACAGTTGGAAGTTAATGGAATCATGAAGAGCACTTGCTGTCAGCATACTGTACCACTGATCATGACCCACTTTAGACTGCAGCAGTAAAATTCTAGTAGAGAACAAAGATTTTGTTGAGATTAAACTTTTAAGCCTTAAACATGGCAAGTATAAACCAAAAAAATTTAAAGCTGACTTTTTTCCACAAACTAACACAAACATACTCTTCATTCATCCTTTTGTATAATAGGAGTTAAAACTCGTGTACAGTGGGGACTTAGCTGATCCCTTGGTGAATTTGTAAGTTTGCTTACTTAGAAAGAAATGAAGAGTTTCTAGTTTTTATGGCAGTTTCATTTGAATGGAGAGAGACAGGATGTCAACTAAAACCCCAGAAAAAACAACAACACATTGCATAAAAGTTATAAATTGATCTGCATGCCATTAAGAGAAGTAATATTTGAATCCCTACAACCTAGCCAGAATTCTGGCTTGCATAGTTAGTCAACTGCACATAGTCATGAGCTCAATTCATTATACAAAAAGTGCATGTGTCCACAGAATCAATTTCTTTAAATCCAACCTCTCCACCATCATGTGCAAGACCAAAGAGCCATCAAAGGACATCAGGGACAAAATTGTAGATCTGCACAAAACTGGAACGGGCTACAAGTCCATCAGCAAGAAGCCTGGTGAGAAGGTTATGACTGCTGGTGCGCTTATTCAGAAATGAAAGAAATATAGAATGAACCGTACTTTCCCTAGGTGTAGAGCCCCATGCAAGATCTTGCTTCATGGGATGAGGATGATAATGAGAAAGGTGATGGACCAGACCAAAACTACACAGGTTGTTTGTGATTTGAATACAGTTGGGACCACAGTCACTGAGAACACCATTGGTAGCACACCACAGCGTAATCAATTGAAATCTTGCACTGTCCACAAGAGCACCCTGCTGAGAAGGCACATGTACAGGCTTGTCTTAAGTTTGCCAGTGAACATCTAAATGATTTGGGAGAAAGTACTGCAGTCAGATCAAACCAAAATCAAGCTGGCTTTGGCTTCAACTTGAGTCACTGTGTTTGGAGGACAAGAAATGCTGAGTATGATCCAAAGAACACTGTTCCAACAGTTATAGAATAGAATAGAATTGAATTCAACTTTATTGTCATTGCACATGCACAGGTACAGGACAACGAAATGCAGTTTGCATCCATCCAGAAGTGCTTTAGCCATGATATAGATATATTACAATATATATTAGCAATAATATAGATATGTAAGTATATTACAGAAATGGGTCTATTATGGTATGTTATAATGTACACGGTATGAAGTATGTTATCAATATTCTATAACTATAAGTATGTACAGGCTGTAGTGAGTACAAGCTATGTACAGGCTATGAACAGGATATAAATATGAAATAAAAAACTATACAGAAATCTGAGATATACAGTTATACAGAAATG